ATTGAGTCAAGAAAGGGAAAAAATTTTAAAGTCTTACTTTTTATCTTACCACTCTTTAGCACCATTCTTAGATTTGTTGATTGCAGAAAGTACTATAGATGCTAAAGTGGATCACCGATCACCTATGACAACACTTTCATGATTGTCTGGAAGAACCAAAGCTGATTTCCAACCTAACCTGACATCTACTGCTTGTCTTGGGGCTTGATATACAAGGGATCGGAATCCTCTTGCAAGTCTAGAAGGTAAAAGTCTCAAAATTTTTGGTTTCCTTCTCTCCTTCCTTCGGCATCCCCAGAGAATAAAAGACGATATGATTTTCTGAGAGGCAGAGGGAGAGGTACATTACCTATGACCCCACTATTCTAAATCAAAGGAATGATCAAAGCGAGGGAGAGGTACATTACCTATGACCCCACTATTCGCTTACACCTTGTCAAGAAAGATCAATAAGATGAACATTAGTTGTTCATTGGGACTGATATATAAAAATAAAATAAAAGAGAAAAGAAAGAAAGAGTTGGGATTCAGAGAAGGGGGATAAAGAGAGAAAATGAACCAGGATGAGAATGCCTGAAACTTGTTTGAGTTGAATCCATGTGTTCCTTGATCGATACTCCCAAGGTAAAGCCTACACCTTTCTTTTTATGCATAAATGAAATCAGCAGAGGGGATAGACAGACAAGGAACTTTTAAGTTGATTGGCTAGATGTATTTGGTTTCTAAGCTAGGATATGGTATAATGTACTTCTGTAGTTGACAGATATGAGATGTGGCTTGCAACAAAGTAAGAGGTGATGATTTTAAAGTTGAGATTTTGATTGAGTCCCTGCTGTTTTTAAACTTCTTTCAAAGACTAGCTTAAGGTTTGCTTGAGGACAAGCAAAAGGTTAAGTCTGGGGGAGTTGATATACCATGATTTTTATGATAATTATCTATGTTTTGGAGTCTATTAGGTATGTTTTCAGGTTCATGAGCATTTTGGAGTAAAGTGATGATTTAGGTGCCTTATGGAGCTTAAAGGAGAGTTTTCCAAGATGACTATGAAGATCCGACAATAAGAGACACATATCGATCGATACACACCTTGTGTAATCGATCGATGACGCTTCCGTCGAATTTGAAGTCGAGATACTCCATCGATCGATGTACACCATGTACCATCGATCGATGTACACCATGTACCATCGATCGATACAGAGCGTGATGAGCAAGATTTATTTGGCCGACTTTAAGCCCAAGTTCTCACCAAATTACAAGACTGCCCCTGACGAGTTTTTAACCTAATTGTATTCATATTTATAGTTATGCCTATGAGCCCTAGAAAGATAATCAATCTAGAAAAGAGTTTTTAGTTTTGTATTCTATTCTATACTTAGCAATAAAGTATTTTCTTTTCGTCTTATTCTTTTGCTATGAATCACTTGGCTATGTCTGAGTATATTCATTTGTTAGATTTAGGGTTCAAATAGTTATGAGGGATTAGCCCCAACTATTGAGTGTTGAGTTGTCATATTCATTATCCAAATGAACCCTAATGCTTACTCTAGATTAGCTACCTAGAAGTATGATTATGGAGTGACTAATCTAATAGTCATTATCCTGAAATCATTTGGCTAAGCTCAGACTCTATTAGGCACGTGCGATAGGCGGTCTAATAGAAACTCTCGGGGGAACACAGTTTCAATTGGATCCGATGCTATATCGATCGATACTCCTATAGAGTAATCGATCGACGGCAACATATATCGATTGACACTGCGATAGCAACATCGATCGATACTGTCGGCAATCAGATCAATGGACGAGTCTAACTAGCGACAGCTATAGATTTGTCTAAGGATTGAAGTTCTCATATATTTGCAAGAAATTCGTTTAGACATCCATAGATTTATAATCCTGATTTTCTGAATAGTAACCTTGAATCTAGCTACTTTCTTTTATTGTTTTAAAACCCAAAACCTATTCTCTTGAGCAACTTACCATTGCTACCAATTTTATTTATTGTTTTAAACCTAATCAACCTAGCTTAATCACTAAGGATTATATCTTTTGTGACTCTAGTTCCTTGTGGATTTGATCCCTAAGTACTACGATTGAACCTCTTATTTGAGAGAGTAATTCACTCCTTAGGGTTAAACATTTGAGTGATATCATCGGCACAAAGAAACAAAAAATAGAGCCACGAACAAAATAGTGGCTAATTCGTGGTTAGAAGCAGGCCACAAAAGTTTTGTTGCTTTACCGTGGCTATTCTAGCCACAAAGAGTTTTCGTGACCAATTCGTGGCCAGATTTCGCGTTTGCCGTGGCTTTGTATCTTTCGTGGCTTTTGCATGGTTGTTTCGTGGCTTCTTTGATATAGCCACGGTTTTGTAGTGGCACTACCGTGGCTATGCAGTAGATTTTTACTAGTGGTCCGCTCTCAAATCTGTTAATCCGCTAACTTCAAAACCACCAACAAAGGGGTAAAGCTTCTACACTTCTCTAGCAAAAGGACAATGAAACAAAAGATGATTAATAGATTCTGAGCTGCCACACCTCTTACACTTAGGATCTACATTAATATGTCGGGCCATGACTCTTTCTCTTACTGGGAGAATTCCTTTCAGACTTTTCCATAAGAACATTTTTACTTTGAGTGCAAGTTTAAGACTCCACAGTGTCTTTTTCCAGTCAAATTCTTGGGTAGCTTCATTCTCAAGGATCTCATCTTTTACTTCATCCATAGCAACATGGTACCCCGATTTCACAGAGTACTCAGCCTGATTTCGTTCCCAGTCAGCAGAGGGCATCCGCACCTCCATTGATACTCGGTTGTAACCTTAAAATGTGGTCTAGAAAGAAAGAAGTATACAATCGGTTTTTAAATGAGATTCATACAAATTAATGAGAAATTGTCTACAAAGTTTTCTTTTAAAAATTAATTAGATATTTAAGTCACACGAAAAATATTAGTATTATATTTGGTAAATCCTCATATGGTTAACTGTTGCTAGTGTATTGAACAAAAAAAACTGTTGCTAGTGCTTTAGATCAAAACTAAACCAATGAGCATTCTTTTATGGGGTGTGGCTCGTACCAAACAAGTGTTTTCTTTTTTGTAACATTCGTACCAACCAAGTGTTATAATTTAATTTGGAAGAATTAGTGAGTTGTGAATGCTCATGATTATGATTCATAGAATTACTGAGTTGTGAATGCTCATGATTATTATCACGAATCATGATATTTCGACATATCGTTTTGAAAAGAAAAAGACGATGAAGGAAACTTGAACATTATCTGGCTGGGCTGGGTACAACTTTTAATAGAAGAAAGTTCGAAGGTGATACTTTCTCAACAAAAAAAAAGTCGAAGATGATACAATTGGATTTTGGTGGGACAAACGGAATGCTAGACTTAATTTCACTCATTTGTCATGCATTTTCCATCATATCTACTCTATTAAAATAGAATCATAGTTTTATCAACCGGTAAAAATTGTCACTTAAATTGAAATCCTTTTATAAATGCTTAGATAATATAACACGTTACTTAAAAATGGAACCTAACTACTTAAGTTAAACCAACTTCCGCTAATAAAACTAAACCAAAGTCGTATTGAACATACTTTGGTTATTTATTGGTACAATAATAATACAAAATGATTTACTCTTATTCTAACGCAGCCCACGAAGAGCTATTACATACCTTGATGTCCAGTTTATACATTTGTTCAGATGGTCTACATGTGACTAAAGGTGTCTTTTTTTTGTAACTATATAAAAACTTTAATATAGATAATCAATAATAATTCAATATATACCATTTTAGTAAACATATGGAATATGTTCGTACTAATTCCAATATGTACAAATATAGTTGTTATAGACTAAACTAAATGTATTAAAATTTAAAATTAGATTTATATTAAAAATATTATCAAGAAGCTCACATTTCAAATACTTCAGTTGGTTTTTATATAGTATATTTAAAATTTTCACATTTTTAGTTTTTAAAAATCAACAATTTCATTAGTACATCTATATAATGTAACAGGTAACAGTTACCAATCTATATGTTTGAAAACTATCATATTATATAAACAAGAGAAAGTTAAATTAGTTATCAAATCCATTTTCCAAAAACTATCTATCAAGCAACGTTCATTTCTAAACTTTATATATACCACAAGATGATAATGCATTAATTTATCTATGCCTGAGCTTCAGCCTCAATTTGTTTTTTTTTTAAACTTCAACATAAATATAATATTATCTAATCAAATAACAATCTTACATTCTTAAAGCATGGGTCAAACTCTACATAACTCTCAAGTCTATCATTCACCATTGATTCTCTACACATATTTAAAATATAAAATATCTAACAACAAAAAAAAACTAGAAAATGTAACCAAAAATATAGATACCTAAATCAACTGTAAATTTTTACATTTCTATCAAGATCCACAGGCTTGAATTGAACTCAAAATTTGATAAGAATACTAACATTATTATTTACACCAAAAAATTAAACAAAATAAATCCAGAACCAAAATAAAAATCAAATGTGAACCACAACTTATAAAAAATATCATCAAATATAAATTATATTTTAACAACTCATAAATTTTAAACTATAAGTATAAATATAAATAATCCCGCGCAGTCGCGCAGGTCAAAATCTAGTTTGATGTTACACCCGCGTTTTCGTTTCTTTCATTTTATGGATTGGTCGACTCTAATAATCGTGTTTTACATTTCCTTTATTTTTCCTAATAAATAATTTATAAAAATTATGATATTATCCTCAAAACTCATTTAAAAATCAATATAATTATGAATGTATATATATTTAGAATTTTCAGGAGGTTTAATTTACTAAATGTTTCACAACACATGTCATACATACTGTTATATTGGATGTCACCAGCCAGCATCCAGTCCCAATCTTACTCGTGGCGGTGGACATTACGGATCTCGTATTAGTGTACGCAAACAAAACGATCGAAAAGAGTCATCGACAACTCAACTCCGTGAAGACGTTGCTTATCGACGTTGTACCTTTCTCAGATTGGGACATGCTTCCAGTGAAAGCAGGAGCGTTAGGTAAAGGAATGGTGATAGTCTCACTACCTAGCCAAACTATTACCGAGCTCATGGTTGGTCTCTTTGTTGCATTCTCTTGAACACACAACAAACCAATCTGAATCATCTTAATGATCTCATTACTCGGATTCTCTACCAAGAAAGGGTCAATTATAATCCCAGGCTTTCCTTCAAGCCATCTCCTCCATGCCTGAACCAAAAAGATATATGTTAGGTTTGTAGATAAAAGAAAATGAAAAAAAGTATGATACAAGGCTAAAAAAAAATTACAAAAGCTGCAAGTCCTTCTCCTTTGAAGCTATTATTTTTTTCACCACTTAATATCTCTAGAAGCACAACACCGAAGCTATATACATCACACTTGGCTGAGATTCGCCCGTGATTCAGGTATTCAGGAGCCATATATCCACTACATATATGCAAATTAATTCATTAGTGTTTCACCCAAGATTGTCTCAAAGATCCATATATGAATATATATATATATATATATATATATATATATATATATATATATATATATATATATATATATGTCTTCAAGGTTGATTGATATGTTCTTACCGGGTTCCAGCTATTCGTCTTGTTTCAGCTCGAGTCTCATCAGCATCAAACAACCTTGCGGTCCCAAAATCTGCAACTTTAGGGTTCATCTCCGCATCTAAGAGGATGTTGCTTGCTTTCAAATCTCGGTGAATAATCTTCAGCTGAGAATCTTCATGAAGATAAAGAAGACCTCTAGCAATGCCTTCTATAATTCTGAATCTCACCTCCCACGTAAGAAGTGAACGCTTCTCTTCATCTATAAAGCTCAAAGAATCATCTATATTATTAAAATTGAAATACCTTTTGGTACTGTCTAGAAATAAGAATAGCAAAATAAAATAAAAATTGTTTGGAAATATAGATAGTAGATTTTTGTTCAAAAAAAAAAAAAAGATAGTAGATTATGTATTTCCTTTTATTTGCACATTTAGCCATTGCATTTACAATAAATTAAATACTTTCCTTTTGTATTTCTTTTTATTAATAAATTCTATCATTGCATTTAAATAAAATTTAAATTAATTAATTACAATGGGTTTTTCTTTCTTTGTGGTGAAAATAAAAACACAAACTGAAATATATAATATATATGATATAAAATAATTTTTTAAATATAGTATTACCTTATTTAATTTATTAAAATATAAAAATTTTAGATTTCAAATTTCAAGAAAATAAAATATTATAAAATTAATTATAATTCATAGAAAACTTATGCAAAAAACTTAATTTGGAGTATACTGTTTCATTGTAAAATAAATTAACAAAAAAAAATTACATGTTAATATATGAATAGTACAATTACATCAAATTGCATCAAGTTATAAATTTCTAATATAATATTATATACAAATAAAATAAGTATTATTAAACATTTATATTATAAAATAATATATTTTATTCTATATGTAAATTACAAAATATATAAAAAAAAAACTTTATAAAACCAACGGTTTATGAGTTTACGTTGAACACAAATTAAATCAAACACCCGCATGGAGTGCGGGTCAAGTTCTAGTTTATTGTTAAAAGCTTCTACAACTATATAATTACAGCTCTCTATCGAAGGCTTACCGAAGATAAAGTGATCAAGACTTGAGTTGGGGACAAACTCGTAGATAAGAATCTCTTCATCTCCTTCATTACAGAACCCAAGAAGCTTAACCAGATTCCTATGTTGTAGTCTTGTCAAGAGTGAAACCTCATTCTTAAACTCCATATCTCCTTGTCCTGAACCTTTTGTTAATCTCTTCACAGCTATTTCTTGGCCATTTACTAATGTCCCCTGAAACCGGTTCTCAAGATCTATTACCCATGCAAGACCAAGATCATTCATAACTTACAATTATTAAAAATGTTATGACTACCTTATAGACCGTACCAAATCCACCTTCGCCAAGTTTATTTTCAGACGAGAAGTCATTGGTTGCCATTAGAATTGTACTAAGATCAAACCGTAACATAGGTTGGCCATTAGAATCAGAGTAGTCTGCAATACCAACTAGAAAATAATAATAGTAAGCCTTATTTTCTACTTAAAAAGGTTGATTGAAGCAGAAACAAGTTACAAGCTAGGTACCATTGCATCCGTTGTATGAGTTTTTCCTCCGAACACAGAATTTTATGAGACCAATAAATACCAACAGATTAGTAAGAGTGGGAACCACAATTATCGCAATAATTCCGCTATACCTAATGCTTCTTCCTGCAAATACTAAACTCATTTCAGTATGAGAACCTTATTTATACGAATTATGATTCTATGACAATGCTCTAAGGGCATTTTCATTGGTAAGTATCTAAAGCCATCCGTATTAGAAGTATCCCAACATGAGTTTGGTGAGATGCTCATGTTTAGATATTTTAGTAGGCATATAAAATGAGAACCAAATACCGAAATGAAAACAAAAATCTGAAACCGAACTGATGTTCACAAATATCTGAACGATTTCTATATGGAAACTGAAAAACTGATACCAAACCAAAACTGAAGGGATACCCAAATATCCAAAATATAGTTTATATAGTTTTAAATTCAAAAAAAAATACTAGCTATAAATCAAACTATCCGAGAAAGCCTATCAGAATATTTTTACCCAAAGTATTGAAAAGTATATGAATTGACCAAAATAACTGAATTGTTTAAATAGTATTATTCGAAATATTTAAATTTATCTGGATAATCCGATATTTTATCTGAAAACTGTTTTTTATCCAAATAATCTGAAATTACTTGAAAAATCGAAACTGAGCTGAACCGAATCAGATCCAAAATTTTGATTTGATATAAATCTATTCCTAATATTGTTATCTGAACTGAACCAAAAACCGAAATAACAAAAAAAATATGGAAACCATGCCAAATTTCATGTATAATCGAATAGTTCATAAATCTCTACAATCGGAAAAAAAAAAAACGAACCAGACAAAACCGAAAATTGAATTCTAAGGCCTATATATGCTCTAAATAAGAGTCTAGAAAATTAAATAGAAAACTGTAACTGTCTCTCATTAAGAGATTATGATATCTTTTTTGAGAAATTCCTTTAATATTTTTCAACGGATTATTGGAGAATTTTATTCTAATATTATTTTTGTTATGTGAGAAACTTAGAGGGTTTCTCAACTAATGCTAATGCCCTAAGCCTTTAACTCAGTTGCTTTACCTTTCTTGTCTGTTATAAAGGTCCCGTTTGCCTGAGCCTGAGATCTAGGAGGTGCAGGAACCCTTGTTACATTATCAAATGCACCATGGAAAGCATATAGATCCCACCTGAAAACACAGCTCGGACGACTAACCTCGCCTCCCTGTCTTCCCCAAAACTGTTTTTTAAAATATGTCCCACTTTTTTCCAAACATATCTTGCACTCCTGGGAAGTTATGTCGGGCGTGCATTGCATCAGCATGTATACATTTGGAAACTCCGTGAACTCGGCTTCTACGGCACTGTAGTACTTAAGTATGGAGGAACTTTCAGCTTCTGTGGCATCCTGGATGGTCCGATTTACCGTTGCTTCCCATTGTTGTCTGAAAAGCGTCATGTCCTTCGATGGCTCGATACTAAGTGGACTTGGATATATAACAGAAGGTTCAAGCTCAAGGCTCCCCAAAGTTGAGTGGTTTGAGGAACTTACAAGACAGGAAACATGGTCTCCATCGTCATTGTCCCACTTGAACGAACCCATTCGGTTTGGACAACCAGTTTGTATCTCCTGCGTCACCTTTTCGACACAATTGATACAATCCTGTCGCTCGTAGCCTCTTCTGCAGAGGGCAAGAGCGTGAACTAAGTTAGGGCTTTTGCCGACTGAGGCGTTGTAGAATCCGCCGTTGGCGACGACTTTTGAAGCAAGAGTGGAGAAGAGATTGTGGCGATTCTGAAAGTAGCTGCTGTTACCGTTGATGAAGCTTCCACTACACGTGGCGGCATTAGCGACTTCGAGATTTTGAAGGACAATAAGAAGAGAAGAAGAGAGGAAGATTATCAAAGCATGGATGCGACCCATTATTTAAAATAGTGATAAAAACTAAAGAGATGTGTTTTTCTTTCTCGTATTACCTTGCTGTTTAAGAGCGTTGTTATATTTATAGGTGAGATCAGAGAACGTTGCTTGACGGGCAAAGACTGGGAAAATGTGTATTGGTTGATTTACAAAGATGGAAAACTGCCACCTAATATTTCAAAATTGACCTAATTAATATTTGAAGTTACTTTAGAATTGTTATTATACGTAGTTCTCGTGTTCTTTCACGAACAATGAAAGTTAAGGTCTAGATTTATCAACAAATAGTATTTGGTTATTTCATATTCCATATTTTTAAAAAATGACAAAAGAAAAATAATTGTCAAATTATATTATATTTTAAAATAAAATGGTAAAAAATAGTAGTAGTTATAAAAAGAAAAGAATTAAAAAAAATTAATATCATCGATAAAATACTAAATCCTAAATCTTAAACTAAACCCTAAATCCTTAGGTAACCACTAAACCCTCAGGTAAATTCTAACTGCTTGAGTAAATCTTAAACCCTAGGATTTATGATTTGTTCAAAAAATTAGGATTTAATGTTGAGGATTTAGTGTTTAATGTTTATGAATTAAAGTTCAAGATTAATCCAAAGGTTTGGGGTGCATTAAAGGGTTTAGAATTTAGGATTTAGTGGTTTGTTGATGGTCTTAAAAATACTTTTAAAATATTTTTTTTTTAACTAGTCTACTATTTTTCTTTTACCTTTTTATTTAAAACATAATATAACTTAGCAAATTTTTATTATTTTCTTCTTTTTAAAATATATAAAATATAAAATAACTAAATATTATTGATTGGTGAATCTAGAAGTTCATCCTAGAGGATGAACCAAATAAAATCTAAAGAAAATGCATGTAACTCATGCATATTTTTAAAAAAAACTGGATGTAAGAGCATGTCCATCCATAATAATTCCGATGAACAGTATGTTACTTTGAAACGTGAATTAAAACTACGTAATAAAATTAGTGGCAAATGTAGGTAAGCCAAGTTGGTGGAACTTGCCCCACGAAAATTTCAAATTCTTTATACCATATATGAATTTTAGCCTTGTTGTCTATGTTTATATTTTATTTGTTTCTTATTAAATAAGGCAATTCTTTCAAATAGAATTTTTTAAATTTTTATCACAAAAATAAACTTCAAAAACTAAATAACCAAAATAACATTTTTTATTTTAAAAATTTTAATTTTTCTTTTATTTTAAAATTTTGAAATCATATATCCAAAACCCCACTCCTCGATTCTAATCAAAAAAATCTAGGATTAGTTAACCCAAAGGGCATAAATGTATATTTGCTTTTTGATAAAATATTTAAGTTTATTTTGGTCAATTTTATTTTTAAAGTATATATTTGTGAAAAAAAATTTTAGATCTATCCTAAAAAAATATCTTTTAAAAATCATATATATTTTTTATTATATGGATCTTCCAGGGACGAAATCAGTAATCCCGAGACCTAAAACATGACACGCACTGATACCAAAAGGACAAACCCCATAACATAAAGTACTACCTCCATATATAGTTGATCGAATTCAAAAACACAACAAAACTAACTTGGTAAAAATCATATTTTACCCTCAATTTTCTAGGTTTATATTAGATTATCTAAATAATCCAAAATACCTTTAAAATATTTTGAATTACCTAATCTTTTATATACTTTGTTTAATCGTTTATTTGTAAAAGTCTTTTTTAGTTAAAGGCAAACTAAAGGTTTTAATAATAAGAAACCGTTCAAAGATTCTTGCCGTACGTTGCATCATTTTCTAGTCTTCAGCAGCATAACTGCACAAGAAGCACAATGAAGTTTTTGGACGTGAAACAGAAAAAGGTTTGTGGACGTGAAACAAACAAAAAAATGGTTTTTGGACGTGTCTTTAGGATAATAGAAAGTCTCTTACTTGCTCCACACGTCACTGTTTATAACAAGCTTTTCTTCTTTTAGTTAAAAACTAGGATAAGACCTACGTAATACGAAGAATGAATGTATGTAATAAAAATATAAATTTTAGTATTGACACATTTAAAAGCTATATATGATTGTTTTTATATGTATTTAAAATTTTAGAATTTGGAAGTTTTATATAATTATCTATACATAGAATCAGAAAACAATTATAATTAAAACTATAGCTCAAGGCTTAGAATTTAATGGGCCCGATTTTCTATATTTTTTCCATTTTCAGTGTTAGAGTGATGGAAAATAAACGGAGTATCATAGGGCTTGATTGATAGAGTATTAGCAAATTCCCTACTGCTTTCTTAAAAAGTAGTTGGTAAAATATTTACATTTAGAATATATAAAGTTTCAAAACTAGTTTAATATAATTTATTTATTTGTCTAATAATACCAGAAAATTATATTTTGAAAAAAAATATTGTTTAAAGAAAGAAATAATTTTAGAAAAAATAATTTAATTTTAAAATTAATAAAAAAAATTAGCTTTAAAAAACATATTTTAAGTTTTTCAAATAAAAATTAAAAATTAATTATGGTCATGATTGAACACAACCATAATGATTTTTAAAAAAATTAAAAAAAAATTAACAAATTAAAAATTAACTCAGTTTTAGATCATGATTTAACATTTGAAAAAATAATTATGGTTATGAGAAATTTACATTCTCGTGTTAATCCTATCTATCTTCAATAATTTTCTCTTTTTTATTTTTTATTTTGGTTATTACTCGATATAAATATTGATTTTGAAGTTTATTCTCATTTCATTTGTTTGTTTTGGCCTGAGATTTAAAAAAATGCTTAAGATTTAAAATAATTAAAGAGATACATACTTAGGTTAAAATCTGCACTTTATGCACAATAAGTATTTTTTATTTTTTATTTTTTATTTTTTATTTTTTATATTTTTTTGAATATTATGAGATAATAAAATAATAAGTATATATATTAAATAACTAAGAAATCAGTTACTATTATGTAATAAATTGGCGTATGCATATAAATCTAACAATCACTCTTGTTTATCGCAATTAGGGTAAATAAATAAAATAATCAATCTTATATATCGTATATGATATATATAATTAAATTTAAATGATAGTAACATAGATATATAGCACACTTTTAATATGAATATTTATTATAAAGAGGTTTCTACTCATATGATTTTATGATTATTTGCATATTTGTGTAACAAAACTTTACACCAACAAATTATTTTTTAATGTGAGATGTTTAATAGTTTCAATAATTTACAATCATTTAAAAAACAATGACAGATTTCAAAATTAAATATTAACTTTTCAATATATGTTCAGTGCAAATATTAAAATATAAGTATGTATTTTCATACGATGTATAGTTTAATTTAAAAGAGGGGGAATTGCCAAAACCAACCCAAATATTCATTTTAACCCTAAAGGTGCACCCCTTATTCAATCAATTGCAAACCCAACCTAAAGGGGTGTTAAAACTACTATTTAACCCTTATGAACAAACAAAAAACGTGCAGTATATTTTACGATTCTGTCCTTCGTAGGTCTACACTTTAAGAAAGAAGTCTACAACTAGGTA